AGTAAACAGACAAAAAATAATTTCAAAGTACAATGGGCATCCCATCCATTTTCTTCAGTGACGGTGGCCAACGTGGTGGCAATACAAAGTGTGTGAGTGCAGTGCATGTGTGAAATAAGGAATGAGATGACAGAAAGAGCTGTGTGTACGTGACAGAGCTTCAGATTGATTTTGTTAAGCAGTATTTAGGAAGTTATCTCCAACTCTGCCACAAGTGGACACTGTAAATATGGTGCAGTCAAAAACACTATCCCATCTCAGAGTCTCCCCAGACCTAAACGGGACAAAGTTCTAACCAGTGCACCTAGGGACAACTCTGCTATGAAGGTGCAGCAACCTGAGATGGCCGACAACAGCCTGCTGATTTTCCATGCAGTCTTCTCCTTTTGGATCCTTCTATCAGGTACAACACACTGACAGCCTCAAATTTCCTACTGTGACCTCCTGTCTCACTCTCTTCTTTCTCAAGTCCTCCAAGTCATTTCTGTCCCATTTGCCCAGGGTGTCATGCTTAAATTACATGAGATTTACTGATACTACTCGATTTGATCTAATATAGCTTGCTAAAATGTCAAACGCGTGTTTGATAAACTTACCCTATTAAATCTTACATATTCTGGAAGCTCCTTTGGACAGAGAATTAACTATTTCAGAGCAGCAAGTAATTGTTTGATTTGGTTCCCAGTAAAGCTATCCAGATATGGAGTTTTATTTTGTTTTTCATTTACAATAGTGATCTATGTTAAAACAATCATAAGATTTTATTAAGCTCCTTTGGAATTAGGGTCACGATGATCAGAAGTAAAACTACAGTGTGAGACAACAGAGTAGTTGTCCTGCTTTTTATTTTTAATCAAGCCAACTGAGAAGTGTACAGGAGGTATGGTTCTAATATTGTCATTATCAATGATAGCTCTAGAAAACACAACTTAATAGCTCAAACGATTCACTACTGCTTACAAAGAAAACTTTTAAAACCAGGAAAATGCTTCAGATTACTAGCTATAGATGATTTCAAAAAGTTGATAAACAGCTGGCATTTACATTCTGACTTCCATGCTCTGTCTAATTAATTACTCTAAACTTAATACAATGTGAATGAAATTGAAATGTCCCAAATAGATAGGTATCCGTTCATTGCTAAATAACTTTGGTTTTCAGTGGCAAATGTTTAGGCAAAAAAAAAATTCAAACAAAACTTTAAAATTCTACTTGCATTTTAGGGAAAAAAATTTCAATGCAAGTAACTTAAAATTCAAGAAGGTAAAATTTACTGCTCAAGAATGAATTTTAAAAAATAAATGTCTCCAAATGCATATTATCCATTAAAGCAGTCACTGGAAGAAATCCACGTGCCTTTCTTATGCTACACTATTTTCTAAGAGTTTTTGGCAATTTTCTTTTATAAGGGTTTTCAAATAATTTATATTTCTTTAATGTCACATCTGATATGAGATATGTAAGGAATATATGACAGAACATTACAAAAATCACTAATGGGCCGGGGATTTAGTTCAGTGGTTTCGCCGCCTGCTGCGCAAGCACAAGGACCCGAGTTTGATCCAGGGTACCAGGAAAAAAAACAAAACTCTAATGACATCAGAATTATTTGTAAAGGGTAGACACATGCAGTTGAAGCACAATTTCCCTTACTCAACTGCCATGCCAAATCTAAATGTTAGCTTCTATGCAGTTGTCTATGCAAAACTGAAGATAAATGACAAGCATTCCTAGGTCTGTAACAGAAACTTTTACACCTCAATACTGCTCAAAGTCGCCAGACTAATTTTGCATAACAGGATGAAAGCACAGTACTCAAGACAACATAACCTACATTAAAACAAGTAATTTCAACTTACTAAAAATTAAAATCTAAATTTTATCCTGAGTTTTTCATCCAGGAAGTAGAAGATTAAAGAGGTTTCCTGGGCCACATCGTAAATGCTTTCTATTCCCTCGTGGACACAGTCACTGAAACATAATGCTAAGAAGTAATTTTTTGTTCATAGTATGAATGGTTATACATCCTGTGAATACAGGCAAATAAAGAGGCATAGGGATATAGACCTTTATGCCAGGCAAGTTACCATCTAGGTTTTTAAAGTTTCTCCTTAAAATTTTCAGCCTTTTCCATTAATCCTTTTCAAAGACCTTCACGTAAAATATTCAAAAAACACTTTATAACCTTACATTAAATCTTTTTTTGTTGTTTTGTTTTGGTTTTTTTTGGTACCGGGGATCAAACTTGGGTCCTTGCGCTTGCGCAGCAGGCGGCGAAACCACTGAGCTAAAATCCCCGGCCCCCTTACACTAAATCTTATATCTACGTCCTTTGCAACTGACAATTTTAACTAAATAAAAAGATTCTATTAATTATTCAACAAATAAAAATAAAACAAATTAAGTTAAGAAAAGTCATGAGGCAAGGCAGTGAAAGTTTAAGTCCATGCCCCTGGCACTCAGACTCCCATGTGCACTGCAAGTAATTATCACCCAGGTGATGAGGAGGGATCGCTGGGTGCCACACTTTCAGTTTCCAATACAGAACTTCAGGGAGAGGTCCCAGAAATTGCACTTCCCACAAGTTCCAGGTTGATGCTGATCCTGAAGATCAGGGGCCACAATGAAAATCTAATTCCTGTGATATGTAAAATAGACTTGAGATATACACATATATAGATATATCTATATCTACATATATTTCACCCACCGAATAATTAACATTTATTAGGGCCAGAGATGATGATTAATACTTTTCACACAAATCCAGTTCTATTCCTGGCTAAATGACTAATAACCACATCAACAGTGAAAGAAAACAAAACAAAGACCACCATCCTCATCCCCGACCAGCTCAGCCTTCTCTTTTACTGATAAGTGACACAGCCCACTGATTGCTATTTATCTACAGCCTTACACTTTGCCCTTTTCCACTCCCCAACACAAGACTCAGCAAGACAAATAATCTGCTTGACCAAAGTGACAAGAAAATGGAACCATCCTTTTTTAATCCTTACAGTTCCAGTGTTCCATCCACCTCCCAGTTTTTCTCACTGTTCTTTAGCCCTCTGCATGCCCATGCTTGCACTTGGACATACACATACACACAGACGCTGACACAATTTAAGAAGCAAGACGGGAGATCTTTTAACTAGGACGATCTGAACCAATGAGAAAAAAATGCAAACTTGAACTTGGAACAAGAGGAATTCACTGTCCCAGAGCGAGCAACTGCCATTTAAGGATGATCTCAGCTGTCCTCATCCCTAGAATGAATGAATTTCTGCCAGCTGCTCAGGAGACATGGGTGACCAGCAGTCACAGAAGCACTAAGTGAATTCCTGCCCTCCTCAGGCTCCGCCTCCTGCCTTCCTTCAGTCAAGCTTTGAAGAGACTCTGCATCTCTCTCCTGCACTCCAGCACCACACAACACAAACACACACACACACACACACACACACACACACACACACACACACACACCACACCCCAACCCCCACTGTTCCAGCCTCTGCTGCGGCCAGACAGTTGCCTTTCATTTGTGAAGGAGATGGTGGGCAGTGGGGAGATTCAGGTGCTCAGAGGTTTCTCGGTCCAAGCAAGGGAGGGAAGGAGGAAGACTTGAGAAGGGAGTAGCAGACAGCAGGACAGAGGAACCAGCCCCCTTTGACCCCAGCACTGCTGAGCCCCGGACCCAACACAGTCTAAAAGTAAAAGCTGAATCCAAGCACCTGCCTTTCCCCTCCAACTGTCCGCCCAAAGCGCCCAAAGCGCGCTGCATGTTCCCACAGAGTTTGAGGGCTCCAGGTACCTGGGCACTGGTGAGCCCCCGTAGTCCCTTCTAGGGTCTGCAGGGAAAGCTCTCACACTTCCACCAACACAAACGCCTTTGGGCCCTGGGGCAGCCACGGGCCTAGCCCTGCAGTGCTGGGGCCCAAATCCCAGAGGGAGACCGACGGCAAGGTGGGCTGGATTTCCAGCACACATCCCAGGGATACGGGAAGACCCGCTGTGTGTGCGTCCTGTCCTGATGCTCAGCGTCAATCTCAGCACCAGACCTGGAGAACCCAAAAGTGCTTTTTCTTTTGGGGTGCCACCTGCTTGTCCCAGGAAAAGACTTAGAATTCAGCTCACACGTGAGTGTGTGTGTGTGTGTGTGTGTGTGTTTGAAAGTCGAAAGCCGAGAGTGCCAACTGCTGACAGGCAAGAGAAGCTGGAATTGCTTTTGAGGACTTCAAAACCTTCCAATTAAGCTCACCCCTCTCTTCGTCCTAACCCTCCCAGATCTGGGTTTTCCAGAGAAGAGCTGAGATCGGGTTCCCTCTGCAAGGAGCTGGTGTCCCGCCCCGGAGCCCAGGTGCGCGGACTTGGCCGTCCGTTCATTCCCGCCTTTGCTCATCCATTCACATCAACACGTCCCTCAACTGCGTCTGGCAGCGAGAATCTTGCCTGCTAGTTCCCTCCCTCAAGTCAGTGCTCATGGCAACGGCTGGTGCAGAATGCAACTCAACTGTCACCCCACTTCCTGAGCCGGAAAATCAAGTCATGTAGGCATCCACAGAAAAGAGAAGGTGGAGAGGCGGAGGGGGCGGGAGTGTGCGTGTGCTTGTGTGTGAGGGGTGGGGAGACTTACGGGGTCACATGCGAAGGTTCCTTTCAGGGGAAAACAGCGGTACTGACACCGCAGCACGCTAGGAGCCGAGCCATTATTAAATCAAAGACCGCTGGAGCCCGCGTCTCCCGCGGGGATAAATCAGGGCAAAGCCACGCGTCCGCGCGAGTGCGAAGCCGCCGGCGTGACCCAACTCCGAGCCCGAGTCGCGGCGCCGGGGGAGCCGCTCGCAGCCCAACCCGCAGCGCGCTCGCTGCCTCCTCGCCGCTCCCGGTAACGTGAGGAAGTGTAAATCAAAATCCACACTGGGAGGGGCCCCGCATTTTGGCTCGGCAACCTATCCTGCCTAAGAATCACAAGGTCACCACGGCGCCGCGATACCACTCACCGTACACTCCTTGGCCGGAGATCCCTTCGAGGAGGACTGTCAGCAGCCACACGAGACCGTAGACTAAATCCATCTTCACGTGAACACGAACATATCCAGCCCAGGGGGGACGCGGTGGGCCCTTCCGGAGGCCGGCGGCCAGCCAGGCGCGCTCCCCTCGCGCCCGCGCCGCGCCGAAGGGCCCGGGAGCCGCTCGCCGAAGGAGCAAGCGCCGTCCGTCCGTCCTTCCCCGGCGGCAGCCGCGAGCCGAGCGCAGGAGCCCCGCGCGCCCCACACTCATGCACACGCACACACACTCACTCCCGCAACACAATACCCTGCCACACTCTCACACGCACCCGCACTCGCGCCAGGGAGGACCGCGGGGGGCAGCGAGGGAAGGAGCGCGAGGCCGGCCGAGGGTTCTTCGGGGACCGAGGCTCCAGTCTCTGCAGAGCCGGCCGCGCTCGGTCCGCGCTGGGCAGGAGCCGGGGCGCCGCGCCGCGCGAGTCAGGCTCGGACGGCCGGGAGCAGGAAGTGGCCTCTGACCCGGAGCACGGAGCTGGGCGCTCTCGCCTGGGTTCTCCTTTACAAAGTAACTCGCGAAGGTCCCCAGAGCAGCGTCAAGCGGCGGCAGCGGCCCGCCCGCCCGCAGTCCGGAGCCCCCAGCCCTGCTGTCTTGCCTTCCCCCATTCCATCAGTTGCCATTGCAACGCCAATCCTGTTACTCGGTACAGGCTCGCATCGCCGAGCGGAGAGAGGAGGAAGAGGAGAAATGGGGCCGGGAGACGGGGCTGAGGAGGAGGGGCCGGGAGGAAGGCAGGCGCGGAGCGGAGGGTCCGGCGGGGAGCGGAGAGTGCGTGTGCAGCGCGCCCCGGCTCCAGCCGCTGCAGCCTCCGCCGCCGCTCCCCGAAATAGCCTTCAGCGCCCGCCAGCGAGGAGGGTACTCGGGCCAGCCGCACAGTTCCGGGAGCCGAAAGCAGAGTCCAGACGCTGCCACTTGCCGGAGACGGAGAGGAAGACGGAGAGCGCCGAGCCGGGAGCCGATCGGCACAGCCGTCCACGCGTGCCCACCGGCGCCGCGCGCGCCCTCTTCGCTTCCGCGCCGCCCCCGCCAGGTGGAGGGGGTGGGGGCGGTCGGGACAGGCGCGAGTTTGGAGGAAGCCGCCGCGGAAGGGGTTTCCCGCCCGGGCTAGCGTAGTGCTGGCATCCAGAGGCGAACAGCGGAGCTCCCGCCCGGCTGAGCGGGCCGCAGCTGCGGCAGGGGAGCCCAGGCTGGGCGGCCGGGATCCCGGGGTTCGCGCGGGGATGCGCGCCGAGGAGGCGAGAGCTGGCTGAGGAGGACGACGACGACGACGACGAGGAGGAGGGCGAAGCGGCGAGCGCCGGGCGCAGGCGGACGGGCTGCCTGCCGGCGAGGAAGGCTGTGTGTGGTCACGTTGTGCGCTACGTGTTGGGAGCGCGAGCTGCTAGCCGCAGCCGGCGACGTCAAAGCCGGGTGCGCGGCTCGGCTCCTTCCTCCGGCTTCTCTGCCTCTTCTGCTCCTCCTCCTCGCTGCCTTCCAGAGCGGGCCCCGGAGCTCATCAGTATGGACGGCGCCGAGAGGCTCCGCGCGGCCGGCGGCATCCGGCCTCCAGCCTCCCCGGCCGAGCCCTTCCCGCTCCCCGGAGCTCCGCGGGGACCCGGGCCGCTTATATACCTGCTGTTGGCGTTTGCAAGCCGAGGGCCAGCTACCACCTAGACTTGCGGTAATTACACGACACGTTGTGCCTCCCGCTGCCCAAGGTCTTCCAGGATCGCTTTGGCATGGCTAGAGGGCAGAATAGGCCACTGCACTTGGAAAGGGCATCATTTCCTCCTCCCTGTTTCTCTCTTTTTTAGTGTGATACGGGCGTCACAACAGATGAAGAATGGGAGGGGGGGGTTACTAGTAGTTCAGAGATTATTTTGTATGTAATGTCTCCCAAAGTTAACTACTTGGAAAAAATTTTTTCCCTTTTGTGAAAGACAGGGTCTTTCATTAGGGCAAAGCTAGCTGTTTGAGGAGCTTAAAAAACGCATGGTTACAAAAGGATTGCAAAATCCAAAGCATCTTTTATTTGCATTAGAATAATTCTAGAACTACTTCGCCATAAATTAATAGGGAAAATCTGGGAACATAGGTGTGAGCGTGATTTGTTTCTGTAATAAAAATAATCAGTTTTCTGTACGCAGTCCACTTTGTTGAATATATTCTCCACTGTCCAGAGTAAAAAAAGTGACTTAAATGGTTTAAAACGTGCATCCGTACATGTGTCACAAAAGTAGTTGCTGTGGAAAATCTGGAGCACAGTGTTCATGTATCTGTGCCCATAGTAGACTGGTTTAACACTGCAAATCCCTCTCTTCAAACTGTCTTCAGTTGGGAGGAGGGGACCCCACACACTAGAAAATGAATAGCCCTTTTCCTCTCTTAAGAAATTTGTGCATATTCATTTTTATAGGCCGTGAGCTAGTGATTATCTTCGGGGTCCACAAGGTATGAGAAACCAAGAATTTTAGAGGGTCCCAGAAGATGGCTAAGTCTGGAGCATCCTTTGTAGTATTGAGATAACAGTTTGTATAGAATGAAGTATCACTCCAGAAGCAAAATTCAATGCATGGCCTTTCTGAAGGGAGATGACTGAAGCTTGGTTATTCGTCACCTGTAGGGGGGACATTTTTCTTATGATTCTGCCTTGTCTAACTAGATCATTCCTACACATGGCAGCACAGAGCTTCCTGGGGCAACAAAGGGCAAGTACTGTCTCACATGGAAGCTCAGAATGTGTCTCCTCCATGGGCTGTTCCAGGTTGTATCTTGTTATGTACTGAGGTAGTGCTTCAACCCGCATTTGTTTTTTAACTCTTAGTTATGGAAATCCAGGCTCTTCAAGCGATTGCAGCACTCTAGATTGGAATACTTTATCATCCCCAAAGTCAATTTATTACCGTAACAAACCAATCCAGAGACAGTGAGAACATTTAATCTGGATTACTCTTCTTCACATTCAGCATTAGGACATAAACTGTAGGAATGCAGGGCTTTCTTTCCCATTTAATTTGCATCTCTGCGTAGGGAAAACCCATGTACTATGCAGCCCTCAGCAATTCCTGAGTGAAATATTTGGAGCTTAGACAACCTGGCCATTTTGCAGTTTATCTCAATAGTAGTTGAAATACAAATAGAGTAAACAACCAGGCTCTATCCTAAGTATTGAACTTTTAAAGACTTGTATAAGATACAGTTTCTTCCTTCACGATACACACATTCTACTGGGCAGTATGTGCTAATCAGCACTTGCCCCACTACTTCTGTTGACACTGCAAGTGCTATAAATAAAGTCCTGAGGCACAATTTGGGAGAAATTTTGTGTGTGACCATTGCTTCAATTACACACTACTGAGAAGAAACATGACAAAGTCAATACGTTTTTAGGCTGTGCTGACCAAACAGGTGTATGTGTAGCCACACTTAGTACTGGCTGTTCAAGGCCTCCAGGTGGTGAGCCTGAGCTGAGCCTCAGGACATGAGGGAGACGCTTTGTCCAGAGAAAGGAAGGAGCTCTCAGCAGCCGCACCAGGACTGTTATGGAGTCAGACACAGGATATTTCACGCGGCCCAATTAGAGCAGCTTCCTGCAGGAGAGCAGTGGAAATGAGTTCAGAAATGGCCAATTTCTTGGACTTTCACACTGAGCATGAATTTAACATGGGGCCCAGCCCCCTAAGGAATTCTTTCATTGCCCACATTGCTTTATTCCCTGGGTCCTTCCTAGAGCATGCTTTCTCTGACAAGGACAGCAGTGGACACTGTCGTTTGTGAGAATGGTTATGAAAATGCAGGGGCTTTTCTCTGACACTTTGAATTGCCTTAGTCAGCTGTTATGCTCTGATTGACTCTAATTTTTGTTTAGAATTTCTGCCTCCATTCCCCAGTAGGAGCGTGACATTTCAACCTAAATCGCATGGTGTGGCAGTGTCATGGAGGAGGTCATAAGATCAAGGTAGCAGGATAGAAATAAGAAAAGAACTGGTAATTCTGGGGCTATCACTGAATAGGGAAAATTCAGAATATCAGTGGCAAATCTGTCTTTCTTTCCCATCCAGACTCTCATCACAACCCAAGTACCAGGCCTTGTGTGTTACTTACATATTCTTCCTGTTGATTTACTGGCCAGCAGAGTCACACAGATTCCCATGCCCGTGTTGCCTGGCTAGTTTGTAAAATCCAACAAGAATGTAAAAATCACTAGTGGTACCCAGGTTATCTCTTGGGAATTCTGCACACTGACTTATTGCTCCACAATTATTGCCAGAGGAAGCAATAAAATACCCAGAGAGTAACAGCAAATTCGGGGTCCACATGGAAAGTGAGGTGCCCAGCAGAGGCTGAGTGTGTGAATTCTGTTTGGAGAGGATGCCAAGGTAATATGTAACCAGATGATGGGGCTAAGCTCTCAGATATATTGTGGCTGCCACTGAGGAGTACCTGACAAACTGAGGAAAGTAACACCAGAGGCAGAAAATATGAAGCAAGAGCCTTGGTGTTTTGATAGTTTGTCTTCAGCTTAGGAATATTAACATATTTTAGAGACCTTTTACTCCCTTGGTAAAGGGACCCCCTGGCACATATGAAACTGAACACCCTCATGCTGGTTCTTAGTTCTAGATTTCCAGGATTTGTGAACCACTAACAATTTCCATACTAGTTTTTATCTAAACCCATAATTAAAAGCTTACCCTTGCAGGACATGTTGCCCCAATTTGTAATCCCAGCACTCAAAGAGGCTGAGGCAGAAGAATCAGGAGTTCAAGGCTAACCTGGACAATTTATTGATTTATCAAGAACCTATCTCAAAATATAAAGATGAACAAATTTTTTTTTAAGCACTGAGGATATTTGGTCCGTTCAGGGTTCAATCCCAGAGGAGAGGGTGAATCTTACCTTTAGGTGCTAATTTACTGTAGCCTAGTGATTTTATTAGTCTGTTCGAGATTTGTTCTTATTCCTTCAAAGTCATGACGCTGACATTATTTCATAAAAAGACACAAGACTGAGTTGTTTCAAAGTGGATGTTCAGGGCTGGTCAGTATAACAAAGTAGGTAAACATCTGAGTGTTTTCCACTGGACTACCATGGGCTTGAACTTGTGTGACCTTGAGAGCTTCTTCATCCGGTAAAGGAAGAGAGCAAAAAGATTGCTGAAGAGTTTTAAATACGTGGAAGATACCATAGTTCAACACCGGGCACATAGTGCTTAAATAATACCATTATTAATGATTTTGATATTTTTCTGAATGAGTTTGCTGAAACAGCATTAGTGTATAGGACTAGTAACTTGAATGATTTCCACTGGAGGATAGCTGACAGTTTAG